TTGGTGACGACGAAGTTGTGACCGAGAGTGTTGGCGTCCATGCGCTGCCACCGACATTGGGCGATATCGCTTGCACCTGGACATTGTACGTTGTACCAGGCGCCAAGAGCCCGATTTGCAGCCGTATATGCGTCGCGTTGATCGCACTAACGGCGTAACTTTGGCGATGGAGGCGACGGGCGTCGATAGAGACAGCGTAGAGCAGCTCTGCCGGGGACACACCACCCGTGTCGATTGGTGCGCCAACAAGAATCGAAGCCGCTCCCCCCGTCGTCTGAAGAATGCGTAGTGTCGACGGTGGCGACGGTGGCGAGACGTCCGAAGTCGCAAACGCTGCTGGTGGCGTCCATACTCCTCGACTAGCCGACGTCCGGGCAGCGACTTGAACATGATACGACGTCTTGGGGAGCAACCCCGCAATACTTATGGCTGGCGCTGGCGTCGACAGCAACCGCGTAGTGTCACTGCAGACTACGAGGACGTCGTACGAGATGATGTCTGCGGTCGGCATGGGCGGTGTCCATGTCAGGTGCAGTGCGCCGCCACTGTTCTCGGTAGCAAGCACAGGCAAATTGCAGGGCCCGGGCAAATGTACCGAGTGGGAAGAGTTGCCAAAAGCAACAGCATACAAGGCGTGCCAAACACACGAGCGGTTGATCGCTGCGGGCGCGGGTGCAGGCCGTTCGGCGACTCTCCGTACCGCAGGTAGAAGCGGTAGTGGCGCAGTGGAAAACGTCACCTGCTTACTTTTGTGCGACGTCGCACCGCAGCGGATCGTAGCAACCACAGAAGCGCGATATGCCGTGTTGGGCTGCAGCCCACTGACGATCGCAGTTGTCGTCTCGGACGCCACTGTCTGAACGCTGCTGCTTCCCATGTCAGTGGTAGAAAGGACATGGACGAGGTAGCGGAGAAACCGATGGCCGCCGGTGTCTCCTGGTTGATCCCATCGCAAATGCACGCTGCTTGACGACGGTGTCTCAAGTAAACCGAGGTGCCGTGGCGGCGTCGGTGTCGTGGCCGGCGATGTTGTGATCCGCAGGGACGGCGACAATTCGCTCCAACCCTACAACGTCAGCGACGTGAGATAATTTCCTGGGCAGATGACGACGACCATGCGGTTTTGCGACTGGTACGCTACCGTGTACGTCATCTCGGGCCGTAAATTTGATATCTTTGCGATAGTTGATGCCAGCGGCACATCAATGCGTGTGGTCCGCGCTTCCGAGGCCAAGCGAATTACAACTGCGTGCGCGAGTAGCGGGACACCACCCGTGTCGCTCGGTGGTGTCGTCGCAACCGTGATGCGCCCGCCCGACACGCGAAGTAGAGTTGGCGCCGACGTGGCCGCTGGGCGCGTCGCTGCGACGGTCTCGCACGTAATCAGTGTCGACGCACGTATGCGATTTGAGCGCACGCATTGCAGGGTGAACGTCATGGCGGTTGAGATCAACACGTTGTGCGAGACGACCATGGAATTTGTTGTCCACGGCAGCTCGACACTGGTCGTCGGAGACGTGAGAACATACGTGCCTCCGCTTGCGTTCCTTGGCACCGACCATTTTAGAAGCAAACTACCGCCGGTGCGCGCTCGACACGTCACATTGGCAACGTCCATCTCGATGTTGTCGTGCGCCAGCGTGGACGCCATGATAAATGTCGACGCGACCAAGCGAGCACGGTTCACGGCGTGCACCGTGATGTTGTAGGTCGAGTTGGCCACGAGATTTGTGAGCTGCAACTGCATCGTGTCGGCAGAGACGTGCTCGGTGATCTCTGCGTCACTGCGTAATGCAGAGACGAGACAGCATCGCACAACGTAGGCATGGAGCGGTACGCCACCCGAGCTCAACGGGGCGCGCCACGTCACATTCAGTGTGGTCGACGACGAGTCTGCAATCGCAAGGTCGCGAACCCTACTGGGCAAAGCCGGTGCCGGCGTCGAGAAGGCCACAATAGAGCTCCAACGAAGCGCGCAATCCGTGAGCTGTAGCGCGCTTCGAACGACATGGTTCGATTCCGCGTCGAGGTGGTGCAGCGCGATCTCTTGCGTGTGCGCATCAAACGTCTGTGTGTGCATCGTGCCATTATGCGCCTGCAGCTGCACGAGCAGCGTGTGCGGTTGAGCCCCGTTGAGGTCGAGTGGAAACAGTACGCGGAGGCGAACCGTGCTGGCGAAGACGTGGAGAATTCGCAACCGGGGGCGCGTCGCCGGGCAGCCTGCCAAAGCTGTGCGCACGGCAAAGGTGACACTCGACGTCGAATTGCGCGCCAGCATTTCATGCGCAACCAGACGCCAAGTATACGTCGTACTGGGCTGGAGCCGGGTGTTGATCGCGTCACGTGTGACGAGGGCAGACGCAGTGTGCGCCGTGTACATCTGGCACCGCTCCCAGCGCCCGAGCCGCCACTGCTGCAGCTCGTACCCGATGCGCGCTCGCTGACAGAAGTCTATGGCACAAAGAATATATGAGACATGACCAACTCATCAAGAGTGACGCAGACCTCTGTCGTCGTCTGGAAGGATGAGGCGAAACGCACCGCCGGTGACGTTGGCGATCCGGGGAGCCGATAGCAATGCGCAGTTGTGTGACGCAGGCGCCGTCCTGGCTTTTGGGTACTGGCTCATCGCACAGGTGGGTGCCGTGTAGCTCCACGCGGAGCAGGTTTGCAGCGCGACACAGGCGCGGGAGCAGCGCAGTGCCGACGTTTCGAGCATCGCTATTCGATCACCGAAGCTGTCGACTACACAGATCAGTTGTGAGGTCACTGGACGCAGACGACGACAATACGTGGTGGGGGCTGGTGCAGCGTGATCGGTGTGTCATGCAGCAAGTGGTCGTAAATGTACGTGGTTGGACTTGGTAAAATGCCAAGAACGACGTTGGCCATGGACCTAGCATCTCATTTAACCCTCCGATGCACATGAAGAGGTACGTACAGCCTCCACGAGCGTCGATGGAACGCCACGGTCAGCGGTGCCCGACCCTGCAGCAGCGCTGGCACCAAGATTGCCGCCGTCCACGCTGGTGCAGCGTCAACATATATAAACGTAGCACCAAGCGTGATGGTGAGGTCGCTCGCAGCGGGGCTCGAGAGAACAACTGTGCCGTTCGCTCTCTCGCCAATGCCGATGGTCAGCACCGTGCCGACATCCAGCGAATGCTGCAGCGCAACCTTATGCACCGTCGGACGCAAGCTCGAGACGCGACCACAAAACACCGAGCCGTTCCGAGCCAAGCAGTCGCAATGGCTCTTGCTGCATGATGCAACGCACGCTGCCGGCGACGTCTCGTCGGACACTCGAGAATTGCTCCAAGTCGCGTCGCCAACGATCTCGGCAAACGTGCTGCAGACAGCGCAACCGAGCAATGCGTCATAGCACGAGGCAAAGCCTGCACCGGACGCGAGGCGTGCAATGGCCACGAGGAGGACCCACCACATTTGCCGGACGACGCGCGCGGGACAAGATACGGGGCTCAAATTTGGAAGAATAAGAACCGGCGCCACGGCGCAATCTGTCGTACCATTTCAAAACCGCCTTCTGCTCTGTGCACGAGACTAGAAAAGACCGCCGGTACTAGTGATAGCGCGAACACACTTGTAGGACCTCGTGAGCACATTGATGTCTTCGTGCAGGACCGAATTTTGCTGCGTTATTGTGCGCGCCGCGTCATCATGCGCGGATTGGTTGAAATGCCGCGTACCTTCATTTTTGAACCAATCACATCGCTTCAAGTAGAAAGGGCAACTTCAGTTTGCCGTTTGCAGATGACCGACGACTTTGATGTGGCCGCGATCGGCCTCAACGTGGCGTTCCAGCTCGCGTGGATGACGCTCATGTATCTCATCAGCATGGCGCGTACGAACGGCTCGATGGTCGACTTTGGCTGGCCGTCCGGCTTCACGGCCATGGCTGGCATGTACTACCTCTACGGTCCCGGCATCCATGTGCATCGCGCGCTTCTCTCGGCGCTCTACGTATTCTGTGGCGTCCGCTTCATGTGCGGCTGGGTCTTGCGTGGGCATCTTACGCGCGAGGACCACCGGTGGGACCATTGGCGGGCCCACTGGCGGACGCACGGCGGCTTCTTTGGCTCGCGTTCCGTGGCCGTCAACTTTTTCTGCTTTTACCACTGCCAGTCGCTGACCAACATCGTCTTCATGTCGGTCCCGTTGCACGTGGCGGCTACCAACGCATCGCCCGAGCTCTCGACCTTGGAACTCGTCGGCCTTTGGCTCTGGGTCGCGGGCTTTCTCATTGAAAACATCGCCGACCACCAGCTCGACCAGTGGAAGCAGCGCAAGCTTCAAGGCGGCGTCATGCGCGAAGGCCTCTGGCGCTTCAGTCGCCATCCCAACTACTTTGGCGAGCTCCTCCTCTGGGTCGCGTACGCTGTGATGGCTTGGCCTGCCGCGAGAAGCGTGTGGACGCAGACACTACTGCTCTTGCTGCCGTGCGTCGCGTACTACTACCTCGTCTACTTCACCGGCGCATGGATGGCCGAGCAAGTGTCCCTCAAGAAGCGCGGCGCGCCATACGCTCAGTACCAAGCCGAGACATCGATGCTACTTCCGTGGTTCCCCAAGACGCATCGTGGCTAAGCCATTGAATGACTTTGCTTTGCATCTTGCCCAAACAGGTAAAGTCGGCGGCAGATTGACATCTTGGGGTGGCGCAGCTGTCGATACTGCAACACAGCTTGGGCGGTTGACCAGCATGAAGGCAAAAGAGTAGCAAGTCGTGTCTGCGACCGCTGTGATACGGAGGCGACAAGCTTGGACGTAGGCTTTGCATCGACTTGCAGTTGATTTTGGCAAATTAGCTGAAAGTTAGAGCATACAGCAGCGCGACGTCGCGTGCACAGGTGTTTACTCGTCGTCGTCGGCCATTTCATCGGCCTGGATCGACTGGAGAGCCCACGCGGTCGCCTCGTCGCGGATGTTGTCCGGGACCAACTGGTGCTGCCACTTGGACTCTTCGCAGAGCCAGCTGAGCTCGAGTTCGAACGGGTGCTTGACCTCGTCGTGGAGCACATTCAGGCTACGTGGTCGTGAGCACCCGAGCATCGAAGAATGTGATGTCACGTACATCTTGGCAATGTACTTGATGGCCTCGCGACACGTCATGTCAAAGATCTTGTACTTTTCGATTTCTGTCTTGGCGGCCTGCTCGCCCTTGCCCATGGCGCAACCGCGGAAGCGCTACGAAATCCATAGCATCCTCATCTGTCCATGGAGCATAGAGGTAGCACGTACGTAAGAGACACCCGAGGGCTCGATGACGTTCAAGTAGCACTTGCCCGTGTCCACGTCGCGGCCCGCGAGCATGATCGACGTGCCGAACGGGCGCACCGAGCCGTACAGCGTGAAATAGTGCACGTACTGGCTCATGCGGTCGGCAAGGACCTGCGGCGGGATCGGGCTACCATAGTTCTTCTTGTAGCTCGACGCTTCTTCGCGCGCGCGGTTCACAAGCTGGCGGCCGTCCGCGACGAGGCCGGCCATGGCCTAAGTCACGTTCAATATCTCGACATATCGGTGGCCGTCGTGGACGTACCAAGCCAACATGGCGGTCGATCGCATGGACACGGCGGTGCGTGCCAGGCACAAGCATCTTGGAAAGCAAGATCTTCTCAACGCCCATGACCACGCCGTCCGTGCAGTGGATGCCAATGGCGGTGCTACGTATCGCGCCATGAGAGACCGCATGGCCGCTTTCTGGTCGCCGTACCCGCTGCTCTCGACGGCCTTCTTGGCGTACTCGACTTGGAAGATGCGGCCATCAGGCGAGAAGGTCCCGACGGACAAATCGTACTACATGGACGTTAGGAGCGATCGTCGGGCGGCGGCCTTACCCCTGCACCGGTGCTGCTCATCTACGCAGGCCCAGAGGTCAGTCTCTCGTGCGCGCATGCATGCGGAGGTCATGTACCTTTGATCTCTTGGCGGCTTGTTACGGACTAGCGGCGAGGGGATCTTTCCTCCTCTCGAGCACGTCGGCAAATTTGTTCTAACCCCACAAGAGGGCCCCTGATACCGCAAGGCCATTGGTCAAAATCCAAGGATCTCATTACGTTTGATTGGCTGAAATCCAAGAAAACATTGGATTTCACGCACCTTGGTCAACCTTTGTGGCTTGAAACACCCAACACAGATCCAACCGAGCGACGCCATTTCTGTGATGGTCGGAGCTCGTTCGTGCGTGGGACCGAATGGTATGTCCGCAGCTCTCTATACACATGTTGTTAGATCGTCATTTCTGATGATCCCCGCGAATCTTGTGCCATGGTCGCGCTCCAGTAGAACGAAAATAGGGTGATTTTAGACCATAGACATGTATCGAGCGACTACTTGGCGCGGCCGACGATAAAGTGGTCCGTTCTCCATCTCCATAGATCTCTACCGATGGACCTGGGACTTACCTTGTAGCTCGAAACGTACCATAACTATTCCTCTAGAAGGCTTCGATAGTTAGTCAGTCAGTTAGTTGTTCGATCGTTGTCGCTCTTGTTCGCAAAACGAGGCGCCGCTTCAACTCTGCGCACTCTTGGATCTTGGCGCCGATACGCTGCAATGGCCTTTCTCGACGCGTGGGTCGTGGACAAGACAATGTTTGAGTACGTGAGCAAAGTACGTCGCCTTTGGTCTCTGTCGTAGCATATATCTGCGTGTCTAGGGCGGCTGCTCGTGCTGCGGCATTGCCTCGGCCATGATCAACTTTGCGGCACTGGACGCCCCGTGCTCCGACTGGGGTATCTTCCATCTTGCTGCCATTCGATCGTCAATATGACGTGTCTATAGAGACGGACGACGAAGACCGCGAAATGTTCTCGCCATGGCCGACGTTCATCCACGAAGACGTGCAGAAGCAGCGCGTCATGATCCGGCACCGCCTCAAGCAGCACGTGCATGCGTACGCGACATTTTGGGCCGAACACGGCGCCGCCTTTTCGACGTGGTGGACCGAGCAAACGGCCGCGACCAAGTTTCGGTACATTGGCAGCGAGCTATCTCCGCTCAGTGTCCCACAAACTAGATTGTTTCAGCTTCCAGAAGCCGACGTCACGACCTACGTGCACTCGCACGCGGACGTCCATGGACCCTACGGCATCGTACAAGCGCTTTGTCGATGCGATATCGTGATCGTAGTGGTCTAGGTGCTAGCAACCGTCACGGAGCAAATCAAGCATTTCGCAGGGACGGGGTACGTCGATGGACGCACGGCGGCCGAGGTCGCCTTGGAGCGCCATCTGCAGGTAAACTGCAGCGATTTGCGTCATTTTCATCGCTTGTAGTTTGAAAAAGGCGCGTTTACACTTACGCCCAGCTACTTGGAGCTACCGGCGGACGCGCCAAATGGGTTTTGTGCGCTTTTGCAGCATTTTCTCTCGGGCCCTCGCCTCTTGCCGTCGTCGATTGAAGAGACACATGGTACTTGGCTTGATCGTAAAACCTCTCATGGGGATGTGCAGGCGACAACAACAACAGCGTTGCGACGAGCCGCGCACCCGACGCCGTCCAAGTACCCCTACCCCTTGACATACGACGTGTTATTTCGGTGCTAGAGCTTTCGTTCGGACCGCCGTGTGGTCCGGCTCGTCCTTGCACGACTCTTTGCGGACGTGGTCATTGCCAAGTTCAAGCGCAGTCGGTCGGATACAGCAACTTGATGATATTCATATATGTGCACCGCACAATGCCCATACTAAGATACTAAGCGATGGTATATTCGACGCTCATGCCTCGGCCTTGACGCCTTCGGCCTTGACGCCTTCGGCTTTGACGCCTTCGGCCTTGACGCCTTCGGCCTTGACGCCTTCGGTCTTGACGGTGGATTGGACCTTCCGGCTCTCTTCGAAGAAGGCATTCGGGTGGTTGCCCACGGCGTCGGCGTTGCCGTGCGGAAAGAGCACTTCAAAGTGGCGGCGGCAAGCGACTTGGTAATTTTTGTTTTTCGCAAGCTGCACGATCGCCTCCTTCTCGACTTCGTTGATTCCGCGGAGACTGGCCCGCAAGTGGTATTCATCAAAGTGCCGGAATGGGCAGCCTAATGCCCGCATGCTGTCATCCACGTTGCGCCAATGAGCGTCGTACCGTGGTAGTCGCCGGCTTTCGGAGGGTCGGACGTGATGATCTTCATGCAGTTGTACGGCGTGTAGTCCTTGCGCTTGCCTTCCTTGCCGTAGTTGTGCCGGATGTTGTATGCGTACTTCTTGTTGAAGTCGTCGACATTCATCTTCTTGCAGAAGATCGTGCGCCAGAACGTGATCGCATCGTCCATTTGGAGGCCAATGCCCTTGAGGAAGAGGCCATATTGCATGCGCCCGCCGTGCTTGAGGTGGTGCTGCGTCTTGAGCGCTTGGTGGAGCGACTTCATGCACAGTGGCATCGACGTCGCAGCGAGGCCGTCAATCATATCCGGCGTGATGGCGTTTCCGGACGCGACCGGCGCCGACCCATAGTCGGGCCCAATGTGGTGCTTGGCGAGGTTCTTGAGCACGGGCATGAGCCGGTCGTCGCGCGCCGCGGCCGACCCGTTGAACTTACGAAAGGCCACGGCGAGGTGCTTGGAGAGCTACGTGGCAAGTTAGCACATCGGAATCGAAAGGCGACGTGTACCGTGGATCGAAACCGAGCAAACAAGATCGTGACCAAGTGCTCGAACGGAACGTAGGCCGTACCGGCCTTGAGAAACACCTTGCGTTGGCCAATCTAGCGCGAGCGTGTGAGATGCTGCAACCATGAGGAAGAACGGTACGAGATCGATGGCTTCGGTGAAGGGCACCTTGACGTACACCTCTGGCACGTTGTATCCTTCCTTGATGCTGGCAGCACTGGCGCGGTGCACGGCGGTAAGCTGGGGCTTGAGCGCAGCCATCTCGACGGCCTCGACCTAATATGACAGCACATGTACAATGGTGATGGTGGCACCAGCAACATGGACGTACTTGGTCGTAGAGGAGGCCATGACTCTTCATAAAGTGCATTTTCTCGTCGCGCGAGGCCATATCGAGGCGCAACTTGAAGAGCATGGATTCCTGCGCGAGGAACCACCGCCGCAGCTCCTCCGTGTGGCAAAACGCCATGCGCAAAATGAAGTGCGACAGCTCGTCCTTTACGCGGTCCTCGTCCGTGCGAATCGGCAAGTAGCGGTGCATGGCCTTCTCGAGCTTGGCATCGTCGCGCCCGCGCAGCCGCTGCATCTCGATCGTCTTGAGCATCTGGAGGCGGTCGATCGAGTAGGCCTCGAACTGCTCCAGCGTCACCCCGCTCTGCGGCGGCTCCGTGTACATGGAGAGCGCCACGCGCTGCAAGGTCTTCCGTGGCTGCGCCCGGGCGCCGGCTGTGTTGCCGACGTTCAGCATCTTCCGGCTGCGGCGACTTGGTGGTAAATGGAGCGAAAACCGCCGGGCTTGGCGGCAATTTCACAAATCCACCGCCTCTTTAGTGGAACTGGCGCTGAATGTTCTTGTAGCGAGGGGCACGGGCGGTCACGGTGTTAGCTACCAGCACGCCACTTTATATACAAACCTTATGGAAAGTAAAGCCATCTAGGCTTTACGATTGCGTGTTTTTAGCTGCTGTGCATTTGCCAAATATTGCATTTGACACGCAACCCAAGCTAACCCAAGCATGAGCACGAAAGCCGAGCTCGTGGGGCGGTGACATCGCTACAAGGCAGCGACCGACGACTTCCAAGGATACGCTCGCCGTCACGACAAAAGATGCGGCGTTTCCTTCCAACTTTGAGCGCGCGCTGGTGGCTGAGTCCGTATCTGCCCGGCCAAATCCTCCTCACGAGCGCGTGCTTCTACGGTCGTCACACTGGCGACCTGCTGCTCTTCGACGCCGGTCACGACCGGCTTGCACTACACGTGTACAATGCTCTTCGCGCCGGTGGCTACATGGTGCCCATGGAAGGGCTTGACCGGGCGCTTGATTTTGTGGCCAAGTGCAAGTGCTTGTGGCCGACGGGTATCCCAACAGCAGCACATGGGTCGTTCGTCACGTCCTACGATCTCTCGTGCGGCTCCGCCATCCGCGACGTGGCCACTGCAGCCATGAAGACGTTGCCCGACCATGTGTCCGAGGCGGTTGCAGCCTTCCATGCCCACCACGAGAAGCGCGATCGGCGCAGCAACCTTCAAAAGGCGCAAGGAAAACCCACGACGTCGACGCGCAAGCGTACGGCCATGGCGCTCACTGAGCTCAGTTGCGCGTGGCAGTACATGATTGGCGCTGAGCCGCTGCCTTGGCGCAAAGGTTCGAGCCTACCCGACATGGTGACGCTCCGACGTGTGGTCGACGACGAGTGGCACCGGTTTCTCCATCTCGACTTGATCGCGGTGGATCGCATCTTGATCGACGTAGCCATCGCTATCATGTCGGCGACGGCACCGCGTCTGACGTTACCTGCCCGAGGCGACAGATCCGCTCGAGGTCTATCAGCAAGGCGCGCGGCTCCTTTTGGGGTGGTCCGATTTCCGCGTCGAAAATGCCGTACTCGATGCCGTTGTGAAGGTCCTTGTCGCGGCCGAGACCAAGGGTCGCGACGCTGTTCTCATGCCCAAAGCGCCATAGAAGAGTATATAACCATAGACTTCAAACGTATACTTTGGCGGTGCTATCGGTCCAGTTTTCCATCCGATCGCATATTCAGCAGATCATTCGTCAAAGTTAAAGGCATTGCGATCTCTGTGAGCTGGCGCTAAAACCTCCAAGGAACGGTTCGTAGCAACGACGATAGGGGCGCCAACCTCCGTGCAGTGGCCCGCCTATCTGGCGACGTTGCTGTCCCGTGAATTGAACACTCGTCGCCCTCGCAACGGAAGCCGATGTTTCGGCTTCCGTAGTTCCTACCTCTCGTAAGCGTTCCAGCGCCAGACAATACTGTTTCGTCTATCAAATACCAGCGTGTTGTTGCTCCATGAAGGATTTACTGCGTCTTCTTGGCCTTCTTCTTCTTGGCCGACGGCGTCGTCACGGGCTCGGGCGTCTTGGGCGCCTTGGCCTTGGGCGCCGATTCATTGTTCGTTGGCGCCTTGGTCTTGGCCTTCGTGGGCTTGGTCGGCGCCGTCACAACGGGCGTCGCGACTTCGCGGGTCGTCTTAGGCTTGCGACCGACGAGACCGCAGCAGCCGCAGCACGTAACAAGGTACAACACCGTCGAGAGAACGAAAAACACGGTCGACACTGCGAGGCGAAGCAGCGCGATCGCGATCGGGATGCTCAACAGCACGATCGTCGTGTCGACAATCTTGGTCGCGTACGGTGCAAGGCGCGGGTTCGACTTGAAAAACGCAACCGCGTGCTTGCGCGAGCGCTTGTACACGTCGTGGCTGCGCTTGGCGAGCACGCGAGCCTCGTCCTGGACGCGCACCAAGTGTTGCTTGGCGATCGGCACCTGCACGTCCAAGATGGGCTGCACCGTCGCGTGGAGCTGGTCGAGGAGCGGGTCAACCGTCGCCGCCGCGTGCGTCGTGTAGAGCTCCTGGACCGTCTTGGCGGCCACGGCTGAGTGCGCGACGGCTTCGTCCGCCCACGGCGCCAAGTGAATCGCGTAGAGCTCGTTCACCTTGGACGACGCCAGCGTCACATACCGGTCCGAGTCTTCATACGTCTGCGTCGTGAACGTCACCGCGTTGTCATAGTACGTCGAGATCATGGCCTGGAGCGAGAGACCACCTTCGGCCGAGCGCTTGATAACATCCTGGAGCGACTCGATTTCCTTGGAAGCGGTCGTGAGGTTGGCCTGGAGTGTCTTGACTTGCGTGAGCGCGTCCTTGGAGGCCGCAAGCTCCGCCTGGAGGCCTTCAATGCGGCGTTGGTGCGCAGCGTTGTCCGCTTCCAGCTTCTTGAGCTTGTCGCTGAGCGCCTGCTTGTCCTGGGCCAGCGTCGAGACTTCGGCCTGGAGCTCCGTCGAGACATCGGCCGCCTGCAGCTGGGCGATGGTCGCAACAAGCGCATCCTTCTCCGACGTGATGGCCGCAAGCTCGTTGACAGCCGAGCTAAGCTGGGTCTGGAGACCCGAGACGGCCGATGCTTCTTCCTGGAACTTGGTCTGCACCGTCACGAGGTCGGCCTTGTGCTGCGCCTCGGTGGCCTGGAGCGACGCCACCTCCTTCTGGAGCGAGGCCACTTGGGCGTCTTGGGGCGCGCAGTCCTGCGCGAGGGCAACGGCGGCGAGCGACAGCAGCGGCAGGAGGTTGACCATCGTGAGTGCGAAAGCAAAATGACCGAAAAGACAAGACCTGTCGACTGCGTTCTCTTTTTTAATTTGGCAGCTGTTTTGTTTTGCGCGTGCTATTAAATAGCAGTGATAACGTAGCGCCGGCGTGAGCAATCGAATAAAATACGCGCCAAATGTGGTGATGTTGAAGTGATAAAATACATTTGTGGCAGCTTCCGATTGGCTAAAATTCGGAACCGCCAGGCCGACAATCGCCATCACGGTAGCCCGAGCGCGTTGCTTTCGCAAGCTCAAGAGACTCCTTGAAGCTTCACGCTCTTACTATGGACCTTGGAATGGCCTCTGCCTTGCAGAGAGTAAGGGAATGACGACTTCGAGCCGTCGTCTACGGTACGTAGGAGCGGTGGCGTGCGTCTGTTTTCTGGTCCGGCGACCCATACAAAACCAGAGTGGTTTCCACGGAATCCGCGTGTTTGCATCGACACGTCGGGTTGGGCGGCCACGCGTCCGGTCCTCAGTAAACGGGGTTTGTGCACTGTCTTTCGTACAAATTCGTTGAGACTTGTGGAGAATAGACAATACTGTAGTCCACGGTAGACTTGGACGCCGCAACCATGTAGGATCTCACTTGAGCGCTCGCGAATTGCTCTGTTGGGCTGCGGTGACAAGGTGTGGTTGGTTGAAGAGGCCCTCTTCAACCACACATAACCCTGTATTACAGGGTTATGATTATTCGATCGACGCCATCTGAGGGACACGGAGATGATTTGAGGATGAGTGCTCTACTGCACCGAGTAGATGGGATCTACGCCAAGGCAAAGCGCAAGGACGAGTAAATGAAGAGATCTCGCCAAGGTCGCCTGCCAAAGCAAAAAGATACGATTTCACCACTCAGATACACCTCAATATTGAATTCATGCCGATATTAACTGTGACAGGATTGCATTTTCACGCTTCCTGGCCAGCATGCTCAAGCAGTACGTGACCGAGGCCAAGGCCAAGCTCAAGGACGAGGCCTACGAGGGCGCGCTCGCAGCCAGCGCCAAGGCCCTCGAGCTCGATGGACTCAACTTCCAAGCGCTGCTTTGCATGGGCAAGAGCCACTTCCACCTGCACGACGTATGTACTAGGACGCTGGATCTTGTTCGTCGCCGGGTGCCCACGATTCCTGCATGTAGCCGACCAAGGCCATCGACGCCTACAAGCGCGCAGCGGCCGTCCAAGCCGACGTGCCGTTTGCCTGGAAGGTAATACTGGGTACATCGTCCTCCTCAAGACGACTCACCTCGCACAGGGCATGCTCGAAGTCTACGAGAGCACAGCAGACCACGCCAAGATGCTCGAGCCGCTGGAGAAGCTCTCGACCATCGTTTACGCGTAGCAATGTCCCATGTCGATGGACGCACCTTATGATACGCGTGCATTAGGAATGGCAAGTTTGATCGGTGCCAGAAGATGCAGTTGGACATGGCGATCACCGCGACGCAGGCCAAGGACTACGCCAAGGCGCTCACGTCCTGGCACCCGCTTCTCGTCAAGGAAAAAGCGCGTCCCGAGCTCTTTGCCGAGGAAAACCCGAACGATGAGCTGCCGCCGAGCGTCGACATGTGGCTCTCGGTGCTCGACCTCGTGCAGGTTTGACCGTCACGTCCTCCATCGCGCTGCTTACGCTCGACATATCGAATAGGCAAGCAAGTCGGCGGGTCCGTTCCAAGCGCCCGACGCCGTCTTGTACACTCTGGTGGGCAAGATCCGGGATGCGGCGACAACAACCGCTGGCTGGGTCTGCTCGGACAAGGTGGCGGCTGTCCTCGACGCCTACGCCGACTTGGCGCTCACGCGGCTCGTTCAACCGCAGTCGAATTCAAAGAACCAAGATCGCCAGAGCCTCGATACGATCTGCCGCGATATGATTACGTGGTGCCCAGTCGCCAAACGCGCGGCGGAGATCCTCTTGCTGCGCGCCGAAGACAGCGACGGCGGTTCGGCCGGACCCGCTTGTATGCTTGGTTGAAATATGCTGTCTGTAGCCCTGGACGCAACGCAAACAAGCACGTGCGAGTCCATTTTGCGTCACGTCGACCCGGACAACCTCCTGCTCATGGCACTCGACGGGCTTGCCATGCACGCAGCCAAAGCCTACGTCCCGGTACGTGCTTGATCGACTTTTTCATTGCATTTTCATTCTTCCTTTTTGAAATGGCTCAATGCATGTTGTAGGCGCGGGAAACGCTCATGACGTGCATCACGGCGGGCCCGCACTTGCTGGCGGCGCGCGTCGCCCTGGCTGAGATTGCGATGGTACCGGGCCCGACGTACCAGCCGCAGGTGTGCCTCGACATGATCGCGAGCGCTCAGGACGCTGTGACGTGGCGCTACGACAACCTCTTGACGTCGCCGTCGCTGGCCATGTATGTGGACAAGTTGTCTATCTCGCAATATTGACGCCTCGTCGATAGCTTTGACGAGACCCACTTGAGCTTGCTCTCGGGCGCCGCGTACCGCGCGCTTTACAAATATGCGGACGCTATCGTGTGTTACGAAGGCATCTTGGAGCACGCGCCGCTGCTAGAAGCGCCTGCGATTGGGCTTGCAGAGGCGCATTTGGCCCAGCGCGACGTGGTGTCGGCCGCCAACGCGCTCCAGTTCCTCAGGTACCTCTGTCTGCGATGCATTGTTATCGTTCATGGCTGATGGTCTCTTCTAGTGACGAGCCAATGTCCGTCCCGCTCGCGGCGGCGCGAGGCTATGTCTTGCACCTCCAAGGCGACCTCGACGCCGCTCGCCGCCTCCTGGAAGCGGGCAGCGCGCTGACGGGCGACGCCCTCGACCTCGCGTGCCTCAAACGCCGGCTTGCCGACGTGTACTGGGATCTGGACGGCGCGTATCGGCGCGACAAGGCCTATTGCGTCAGTGCGCTTCTCTCAGCGGCGAAACTCGATTCGTTTGACGCTGAGAGCTTCGCGGGCCTCGGTCGCTGGTACCATGACATTGCGATGGACTTGGTGCGCGCAGAAAAGTGCTTTTTGAAAGCGCTCGCGCTCAACCCGCACTGCGAGGTCGCCGGGGTGCTCCTCAGTGACCTCTACGAAGCGCACGGCCAAGAAGATCGCAACGTGCGTCTCTGGACTGACATGACGACGACGATCGAGGGCGTCGTCGCGCCGGTTTGGGCGTTGCGGCGTCTGGCCCAGCACCAATTAAACGCCCACGACGAAGCTGCGATCGCGTCGATGCACAAGGTGCTGCGTCAGGCGCCCTCGGATGCATCCTACTGGGCCGCGCTCGGCCACGTGTATGCGAGCTTTGGGCGCGTCATGGCCGCGCAAAAGTCGTACGCCAAAGCAGTGAGTCTTGGTATGGACACCAACCCGTCTGTGTTGGCCGAGCTCGCGCGTATCGAGCTCTCAGTGGGCCTCTTTGACGAAGCGCTCGCGCATCTCCGCACCGCGGTCGCATACGTGGTCGCCAACGACATTGCAGTCCGCAAGCTCCTTGCGGAGACGTTGTTTCAGCACGCCAAGTTCCTCTGCGGCCAAGGGCTCTACGGCCGCGCGGCCGCTCATTTGTACGAAGCCTCGGGCTTGCTCCATACGTGCTTGGAGACGGCGAGCAACGAGCCCGCGCTGCACAAGCTGCTCGGGGATGTGCACTGCTTTGCGTTCTACTTGGCGCCCGGCGACTTTACTTCCTGGGTCGACTTTCTCAGCGCTGGCACCGCCGCGTACAAAACCGTGTCGAGTATCGAGCCCGACGAGCCCGCAGCGTGGTTGGACCTCGGCCTTGGCTATTGGTACGAAGCCATGGCCCGGGGTACTGTCGACGGGGTGCCCATGGGCAAGCTCGCACTGCAGCACGCCCCGGTGTACCCGCCGTCGATCGATCAGCTGATGCACGACGCGTCGACTGCGTTTGCGCAGGCGCTCGCACTCGAGCCGCTGAACGCACACGCGTGGAATGCGTTTGGTGCGGTGCAGCGCCATATTGTGCTCAAGCACTTTGGCTTTGTGCGCGCGATCACGCTCGCGAACTTGGACTGCGCGTGGGCGAACCTCGGCATGTTGTATGTGTATGCCGGCGCGCCGGCGTCGGCCCAAAAGGCGTTTTTGAGCCTCCAAGGCGTGAACCCCAACAACCCGGCCATGTGGACCGGCTACGGTCTCCTCGAGATTGCAAAGGGCGATGCGAGCCAAGCCCACGCGGCGTACACGTGCGCCCTCCAGATGCGCCTCGATTTGGACGTGCTCTACGGCGTCGCGTCGACCGGCCTTCAGGTCCAAACCACCAGCAAAGAGGCGCTGCCGCTGCCGCAGATTCAGTTTGCGCTGCAAAAGTACCTCGAGCGCGACCCGTTCGAGGCTGCGGCACAGAACGCGCACGGCGTCGTGCTCTCGCAGCTCGGGTTGCACGCCGCGGCGACGACCGCATTGGATGCAGTGACGTCCACCGAGTCGGCGATCCTGCAAGGCAACAAGGTGCGCAACTACATTGCCGCCAAGCAGTGGCCCGAGGCGCTGGCGGCGTGGAAGGCCCTCGAGACGAAGGACGACACGACCAAGCAGCTCTTGGCCGCGCAGGTTCGTGTGCCATCAATGACGATCCCACTTATCTCGCATGTCCTAGATCTATACCGGTTTGAACCGGTTTGGAGACGCACATGCAGCGCTCACGCGCATTCGATCGCCGGCGTCGACCCTCCATGTTGCGCTCGCCACGTACGAAGCCGAGTTCAAGGCGACCCGCGCGCTCTCGCCTGCCTCCAAAGCAGCGCTGCAGGCGCTCATGGAAGCGCACCCGCGCCACACCAGCATCGCCGCAACTCTGGCGCGCGTCGAGCTCGATTGGGTGACGTATTGGGCAACGTCGAACGACGACGAGAATCCAGACAAGGTGTCGGTGCCCTCGGGGCTCAGCGACGCCGGGCTTGCTCCCGCGTGGCTCGACGCAGTGCAGAGAAAGGACGGGTCGGCAGTGTCGATCGCAGCGCTCGCGCAGCTGTTTGGCGCGTCGGCGGCGGTGACGCGGCCGGTCGCGACCGCGCTCCCCGTGTCGCGCCACGTGCACGCGATCCTGGATGCCTTTACGGTGTGGACGCCGCCGCGCGCGACAGCCCAAGCTTGGTACCGCGAGAACCCGCGCGATCCCAACGCGTGGCGGGCGCTTGTGTTGACGCTCTTCAAGCGCTATGCTGCTACTCACGATGCGTCGATTCTCAAGACCCTCGGCCTCTACTTGGGCCTGCCGGTGACGAAGGAAGCGCATTTGACGTGGGAGTGGCATGTGCTCATGAGCGGCTACTGCGCATGGACGCACGATGCGACGAGTGCAAAGACGCACGCAGCGTCGGCGTCGGCGCTGGCGGCGTCGATGCAGAATGCGTCGTTGTACAAGGCGCGATCGGTGGTGTTTGTGGACCCGACCGCAGCCCTCTCGCTCTACCGCACGTCGCTGCGTGGCAGCGCCGACGAAGCTGTGCTGGCCGAGGTCGCGGCTTTCGTGACGGCGCTCGGGTGGCCGAAAGCCGCGATCCGCATCTGGAAGTGTCTGCACCAACTCGACGACAAGTGGAAGTTTATGGCGATCGTCCAGCGCTACGTGCTCTCGCTCAATGTCGAGTCGCCCAAGGTCCTTGCCAAGTACCTCAAGGAAATCCAGAACTTTGTCAAGGACGACTCCGAAACGAGTCCGCGCGCCGAGCTCGTCGCGCAGCTCGTGGCCTTGACGCCGTAACGCAAACCAGGAGTCGCCAGCGTGCGTCGATTTTGAACTGTTGAACATGCATCCCGTTACTGCTGCTTCTTCAGCGACCAAGTGTCTCTTCTGTGCTACAGCTCTAGCGCCCAAGCGTGCTCAGCAACGAGCTCAGCAGTCCCTGCGCCAGACCGACACTTGGTAGTCCCGAGATATGCAGCCGTGGCGCGAATCTTTGGAACTGGCCAATGGCATTGACGCGTGTGGATTCCTATCGTTTGATTGGTCAAAAAGCTACAACTTGTTGCCACGAGCCAAGGACATGGGCGGCAAGGTCTTTGTACGGCCCGTGCCCGATGGCGTCGAGGACGACGAGCTAACTGCGATCTTCGACCGCTTTGGACCGATCACATCCATGCACATTCACACGCTCAAGGCCGACATGGAGCCGCTCGTGCGCCACGCCTACATCGTACGACCATCGCGGCGAGAGAGCGACGACGACGTATTGCCCGTAGACCTATCTGAACGACGACGACGCCGACAGCGCTGCGCGGGCCATGCACCAGCGCGAGATTGAAGGCGAGCGCGTGAGCGTCCACGTGGTCGCGCCACGTAAAACGCAGCGCACGGCCAACGTGATCGACGGCGGGTACTTGACATCCATCACCTTTGCCTTATCCTGCCATGTACTAGCGCGTACTACATTTCGCTCAACAACTTGCCGCCTTCGGCCACGTTGACCAAGATCAAGCAGTTTCTGCACTCGGCGGGCATCACGAGCAAGCGGGTCGTGCTGCATCGCGCAGACCTGGCGTACGCAACGCTGCTCTCCAAGGCGGACGCAGAGACGGCCGTGCGGGCCCTCGACTGTGAGCGCCTCGACGGCGAGCGCATCTACCTCGAAGAGGTCGCCTACATCCCCCGCCGACCTGCCGATTCATAATACCGAGTGTTGATTGTATGAGGGTTTTCGACTCGTTTGCTTCTTACACGGTCGCGTCCTGCGCACCGAGCGACTGGACGATGCAGTAGGTGTCGTTCGGAAGGCACAGGACCGTGTAGCCATTCGCGCCTTCGAGCTGGAACCCGTGGTCCCGCCGATGGCCCTTCTGCCACCATGACGCGACGGTATCCGGGAAGCCCCAGACACTCACGGCCGCCAACGGGGCGACGCCGTCCGCGACCTGCTTCTTGGCATACTCGACGGCTGTGCGCACGAGCGTGTCGGGGATGAGACCGCGCCACCGAAGACTCACGGCGCGGCCCGGCGTCGTAGCCTCGACCGGCGACACGTAGGTGGAGAGGTACTCGTCTGAGAGCGGCGATAAGAGGCGGCAGGCGACCAACCCGAGCCATTCGTAGACAGCAGCAATCTCGTTCCGATCGCAAGTCGTCGAGATTTGTGCCGGGAGCGCGATCGCTGCAAAGGCCTGCACCTGGCTCGTGACTTCGATACGCTTGCGGACGCTTGCATCGCTCTCGTCGTCGACGGCGTCATTCGCGTCGGTGATGGCGATCGTCTGGAAGCTGCCGCGGCCATTAACCGCGCAAATGAGCAGATCGAGCGGCGGGAAGCGCGCGACGCAGGCGAGGACACGCGCGCGGAACGACGAGGCCGCGTCGACCATGTTGTTTGCATGGAGCTCGATCACGACGCGGTACCGCCGCCCGTGCAGCGCTTCGCCCGACGCCGTTGCAATCTTCTCGCCGACAAGGCCAAACTGCGTGTACGTCTCGTGATCGAGCACGAGCACGAGGTGGCCTAATATTGGATGGTGCGTTAGAGGTCCAGACGCAGGAGGAAGGAGAGCTGCTACCACTGGGAAAGAGGCCGAGCGTGTTGGCGCCGTCAATCGGTGCGTTCTTGAGCGTCGCGTAGTAGCGCAGCTCGGGCTTGGCCAAGCATTCCTGCAGCAAGGCTAGCGGTGACACGCGCATCGCGTAAAAGAAGAAGCCTTCGCGGGCAAGCGGCCCAACGCTGCCGGGCGTCGCCGACGGCAGGAAGACGTCGACTTGCTGGTTGAGCGGATGCGCGTCGACGAGGTCCCATGCGCGGCTTCGTGGGTCGCTCCATGTCGACGTGTGCACGAGGTGCCGGTTCAGCGGCAGGGCGGCCATGTGGATCATGCAAAATGGGTTGCCGGTTGCTTGACATCCAGCAACCGGCCCGCGACTGTTATTTAAGTTTAGAAATAGCAATAAAAAGCGCTCGAAATGTTGGTGACATGTTCACATCATAGTTCTGCTGCACTAGGAGCACCGAGTTCATGCATAGGGTTCGCCCGGTCGCGTCATGAAGCCGCCTCGAGGTAAATATCGAGGACCGCCAAGGACCTTGGTCTCGTGCGACACCACAGATAAGTGTCAGTTCATGCATAGGGAAAGGGTTTACAAAGCAAGGTGATGCAAAAGGAATGTCAGTCGACGACTGGGCCGTTTCCAAGCAGTGGAAGAGGTTTTCCGCACAAGTCCGAGCGATCCAGATTATCAAGATACAAAACGGAAACGCAAGATCCAAGACCCAAGATCCAGGCGCAGAGCAAGCGAGCTCAAGCCATTTCCAAATTGGTAGTCAAGTAGCTAACCCGCCTCGCCCACCACTGGCACGGCGGACACCAACACGGTTGTTGCCCCCAAGTAGTTCGGTCTTGATTGAGGAATGGTTAAACGCTAAGCAGTGGCGTGACGGGTAAAAGACCTACAGCAACAGTACCATGGTACTTCGGGCGAGTCGGGTCTACGATGAAGAAGACAAAGCATATGCTCACGGCGCGCGGCGTCTCGGACGCCGAGGTGCTGCGCCATACGGCGGTCATGCAAGAGTATTGAGCACCAACGCGTACCAGACACAAAGCCCGCGAATCTGGCTCCGTGCTATGTCGTCACCCCAACGTCTTCCTGGTGGCGTCGCGAGCACGTAGATATGCGCGTAGCCAGCGACGTTTGGGTTGGTGGTCACCGCCGCGTAGATGGTCCGTAGCAACGCCCAGTCAATGCTCATTTCGTCCTGATCCACGGCCGTCTTGAGATAGTACGTGTAGACGCACCGATCTTGGACAAAGATGGCATCGACCGCGTTAAACGACGCCGTACCGTGAGGCAACCAGTACGTCGCATTCCCCAAGGCGGTCGCGAGGTACGCAAGGCAGGCGCCTCTTGTCTCTCCACGCGATACGACCTTGACGCGCACCGCCACCACCAACGGCAACAACAGTGCGATAGATAGCTCGAGCATACCGTCCGACGCCAGCTTGTGGATCAATGCTTCAAAGTGGAGGCTGTGCAGCGACGCATTCGTCGATGTTTCCGTCGACGCGAGCAACGCAGCAAAGCGCTTTGCAGGCGTGATTGACATCATCCGCCGGAGGAGGACGCGGGCGTCGACCACGTCCTCGTTCAAGTCAGCGAGCACATAGTACTTGTACTTGGTCACGTCCTTGACGTACTGGTACGTGACCGGTATTGACTCGGTACATCCAGGGCTTGCATGCCGAGCGGGTGCAGCTCGGGCGACGTGCCAAACAGGCGCACGTTGCCGCCAGAGTACGCACATCGCTCGTCAAAAGTGTCCACGACTGCTGCATGCGCGCAGTGCCTCTTTGGACCATGCGGGGAGCACCAAGACGGTGCGCACGTTGGACCGGTACGGCCGCACTCGGCATCCCCCTTCCGGCATGGTATAAAATGCCACGTCGGGGTCCGGTATATCGTGCGACGGCGAGACCAAAAGCACGTGGTGGTTGCGAAAGGGAGCCAGTGGCGCCTCGTAGCGGACAGTCCACAGCGAGTAGTCGTCGGCGACGATCAGAAACTTTGGGTTGGTGCCTTCGTTCTCAAACAAGAAGGCAGTGACCAGAGGCGCCAAGTCGCTTCGGTTCGAGAGCGTGTGCGTCGTGACGTAGACGCCCCGAAACCACGTGATCACGTCCGACGTGTGGTCGGTCGTGCCGGCCCGCGCGAGGAGGATATGGTAATCGTGGTACACGGCAAGGTGCGCGCAGAGAAGGAGGACGAGCACCGACTTGCCAACGCCAGATGAGCCCAAAAGCACCAGACACAGCATCAGAGGACAGCGCTGCTCCGCGTCGACGTAGCTCTCGCCATCCGAGTCGGACGATGCGAGGAATCCCATGGGAAGGAAGGAGCATAATACTCATGCAACGCACTGAGCATTACTGAGGCGGGCGCTTTGGCGTCGACATGGCCCGACGTGTAGTTGACGAGCAAGAGGTCCCACAACATTCGCATCTCCTTCCGGACAAAGACGGCTGGCGGGATGTTGCCGTAGCCGGTCAGAACGCGCACGAGCATGTCCGTCTTCAAAATACGGCCGATGCTAGCCGCCTCCAGGTCGGGAACGTCGGCGTACGTGAGAATACGTTGCAAGCGAACCCTTCAGCCCGGGGCTCTAGTCCAGAGGTCGTCACAACCCGCTTCAATGGAAAAAAGAGATGATACCGAGTCCAGCATAGTCTGATATCGATCGAGGACGCTTCGTTGCGACTAGTTGTGTCAGCTGCCGTGCCTCGCCCTTGCCAAGCGTTTGGTACTGGGCGGCGCAAAGTCGAGGATGTCCTTCACGGTCATCTCGACCTTTTTCTTGCCTTGAGCAATGCACCAAAGATGCATCGTGTTCGGTGGCTGCGTCCACGACGAGCCGTCGAGCGGCAAGGCCGAGACGTCGAGGGGCCAGTACTGACAACCCAGTTGAAGCTACTTGTGTGAATTCTTTTGTCTCCACCCATCACATCAAACCAAGTAAAAACCACCCCGTCAATCGTATTTCAGATCGGATTCTGTACGGCGGGTCCCGTGCGATTGCTTTTGCAAAAGTACGCATCTACAAGGGGCAGTGTACCCTGTTGTGCGGGCTACCAGACGAACGCCCGATGCTCGTCATGTAGGTGGCATGTATTTTGATTTCAGACTTTCGGTTTGACGACACACAACCTATTGTAGGGACGGCGCTGAGCGCCGCGGAAGGAGTGTGAATCGGAGACCGACGCCCGAGGCGCCAAAGGCCGGACACAGCGTCTTGCCAAAGACATTGCGAAAGGCGATGCCGAGATACTCGCGGTTGCGGTAAAAGCTTAGCGTCCCCCGGTCCACGTCAAACTCGACGCCGAGCACTTCGCCGTTGACGCATTTGGGGCCGTACGCTTCGGAAGTCATGTGCACCTTCTGGCCCGAGGCGACAGCGACGCCGTAAAACAAGCCCGTGCTCGTCACGCTGGTATTCAACGGCATGTCGGTCGTGCCAATGCCGACAAATAGTCCGTCGCCGCCTATGGTTTCGTCCAGGCGCACTTCCCAATAGGCGATGCCGGATCGCAGCGCGTCTTTGGCGACCACTGCGCACACGCCACGGGCAACCTGCACGATGGATGGCAGTGTGAGCTGGGACGATGCATGCAGCGTCTCGGACGCGGGAATGCACTTGCTTGGCTCGAGCGTAGTCTTGTCGCAGGGTCTCGTGTCCAAGTGCAGCGCCAGCGCCATCTTGCCGAGCTGCAGTAGCGGCGCGATTACCACAAGCAGCGGCTGCAGTGATCGAAAGATACATGGGTTGCTATCCGTCAACCGATGCCGACCACCGACGGTTGGCTGCAGCACCGAAATGGTCTCGGGAAAAAGAGGCTCGCCCAGCGCCTTGATGATGCAAGCTCGGAGGTCGTTGAGCGAGCAGTCGAGCGCCACGTTCACGTCAAAGTGGCGCACCTTGGACGTGAGGCAGGTGGCCCGGAAGGTATGGCGCGGTGCCACATCGCTGGCGCGCATGTAGCCGCGACCCCACGGCAGTACGACAGCAGTTCGTGAGGCGTCGGGCGACGGCGCGGCTGCTTCGAGAGCACCGAGTCCGTACGGAGTAGCCACTGCAAGCACCATGCTCGGAAAGCCCACAAATGCGACATTATCGTTTCGCAACCGGACAAAGCCGGCCGGATAACCAACCTTGGCGCCATTTCGCAGTCAGCGCGACCCTTCGTTGCGTCTTCTCTCAGTATTCCCTCAAAATGCTCCTCAAGACTGGTTTTAGGCTGCTTGTCATCCAACCATTGCAGCACCAATGCGCGCGTCTGGTGTGATGTCCACTGCACTGGTCTGATCAGAGTTCGAGCTCCCAGAGCTCCAGAGGCACTCGAATAATCACCTTGTATCAGATCACCAACTGCTTTGCAGACTCCAACTGCACCAGAACGAGATATACACGCGAATGGCTGGAATTTCATTGTTAGACGACGACGTTGGACATGTACCGCGCCGTAGAGATCGCGAGGACGA